TTCCTATATCTCCACTGTATATCATCTACAAAATTAATTTCTTCACTGGGAAATAAATAGAGCTAGTTAAAAAAAACCCAACAAACCAACACCTCCCCACCCTCTGAAATCCAAATTTTTTCCACAAAGTAAGGGCACTTTTTAAAGAAAGTTTCCCTATGTCCCTTCAATTAATTTAGTAATCACATCCACATCATAAAAGCTTATTTCTTCTTACCTAGTATGTATATGCTGAAGAAAAAGACATGGAGGGGGGGGACACATCTCTGTCAGGGGCTGAACAGTTAGCATGTATCAGATTAACTGCACATACCGGAGACTTAACTGCAGTCTTGTAGCCTTTGTGCGAAATTTGACATATTTAACTTCCTAGTTGCCACAGAAACTTTAGTCAGAATATCTGTTTTCATTTCAAAATTCCTCAGTTTCAAGAAGAAAACAAACACATTTCTCAAGAAGTTTTCAGCTGTTGCAAAACTCATCTATTTGTCAGCAATAGTATTCCCAAATGAATTAGAAATATCATCTTTCATCACAGTGCTAATGACATCCTACAAGGTGATAAAATTAGCAGCTGGAAAGTGTAATCTTGCCACCACACTTCTCAATTTGCCATTCACTTCTTCCAAGCTGTTGTCCAGTTCATGCCACTTTCTCAACAAATTTCCAAATTGTTTGTTTGCTTAAATGCCCAAAGCATATGTTGCTGACAAGCTTTTTATAAGATAAATATTCCATTATTCCCACAAGAGCTTTGTCTCCCAAGAAACTTCTCTTCTTGTCTCTATGATCACTATTCCCTTGTAAAGCTTGCTCAGATCACTTACAAAATTATGATTTCCAAATAATTTTCTCAGCTATGTTTATTCTCAAACTGGCCTGATAACCACAGTCTCATTAAAATTTGCTGGTTTGATCTTGTCTGATAAAGGAATATGTGCATTTGATAGTGTGAGCATTTCTCTTCATAATTAGAAAATAAATACAAGAGTACACAACTTCTTGGTTCAAAGAATTTCAAAACTGCTGAGAAAAGGAATATAACTGTTTCACTCCTGAAAATTCCAAATTCCAGTACCTAAAGGGGCCTACAAGAAAGCTGTAGAGGACTTTTTACAAGGGCATATAGTGATAGGATATGGGGTAATGGTTTTAAACTGAAAGAGGCTAGATTTAGATTAGATATAAGGAAGAAATTCTTTACTCTGAGGGTGATGAGGCACTAGAACAGGTTGCCCAAGGAGGTTGTGGATGCCCCATCCCTGGAAGTTCTGCAGGCCAGGTTGGATGGGGCTTTGAGCAACCTGGTGTAGTGGAAGGTGTCCCTGACCATGGCAGGGGGGGCGGGGGTTGGAAGTAGATGATCTTTAAGGTCCCTTCCATTCTAAGAACCCAAACCATTCTATGATTCTATGAATTCCACGAAGAAAATATTAACTGAAAGGTCAAGATAGATTAGATTAAAATATCTATCCAAAGCTTATTTCAGCTCGTGATACCATCTAGCTCTGTGACAGACAGTAAAGTCCCTTCTACCACCTTTACCATGCAAAGGCTGATTTTAGCATTTTAGAAGGCAGGCTGGAATATTCTGAATGGATTTGAGATCTTTTTGCCTGTCTCTGACTCTTCTCTGCAAATTCTTTACAAAAAATATTATCATGTCATTTTCCTGCAGGGAAATCCCAGACTGAAACTATATGACTCATTCAAACCCTGCAGTCCACTTGCCCAAGTTATCTGCCTTGCCATCAGAGATCCATGCTGTCATGCAAGAATTGCTAGACTAGACTCATAAGTGAGATAATAATAGACAAGGGAGTCCAAAGAGTGTTCAAACTGATGCACATGTATACCTTCCTCTAGCTGCTTCTATACACATATTACACTAAACTGGATTTGCTCTAAACTCTCATTGATTCACTGCACTTGGACTCACACTCAGCTCCAACTTGCAACTTGCACTCCTTTATTTACAGCATTCATTAATTAATTTCAACAGAGCAAAGCCCAGTGCTGTGTAGCAGTATGAAAGCTAGCTCAGGGACTGAAAAGGGAATAGCTGTGTAGCACAGAATCCAATGCTAATTTACTTTGTTACTCCTGTAAATTATCCTTTTCAGCAGGGCAAGCTGGCATCCAGAGGTGTGCGCTATGCTCCTTACAGTAGCAATACTAAGGATAACCGAACATGTCACTGCTAGACCTCATTTAACTGTTGGCTGGGATTCAACACAACTGTCCTGTTTGAGGACAAGTGTCATTATCTATATTTTTATTTTGAAGGCAAATACTGAATTGTTTACCTGTCCAAATCACCCCTTTAGCTTGCCTTATCTTAAGTGAAAAACATAAACAGAGCACAGTGAACTCCTAGAACATTTAAATTCATAGTGTTTCTGTTCCCTGTTTTCTTCACAAAGCACCTATTTTTCATTCTAAATACGCTGTGAAGTAGGCTTCCACGGCTGGGCATATATCTAACCCCAAATTTCTTAAATTCTGTGCTTACATAGATGCTTTATCTATAAGACCATCACAGATGTCCCAGAACAGCTGCTGTGCTGGAGGTCCAACCTGGTCCAAAAAGTAAATGTATTAATCTTCTCCCCAAATTCCAGGGGAAAACCCCAAATATTCTATTTCTCTACTCACATCCTAGTCTATGCCTAGTCAATGAGACAGACTGTTGTCTTTTTACACAACAGGAGTCTAATTTGGAAGAGGGTTCTATTGAACAAAAGGCAGTTGTAAATTATATGATTAACAGAAAATGTGTTCTTGTTTAATTCACAACAAAGCGAAGTGAAGTAAAGGAAGTAAGGAGTGGTTGGTGGCCCAATGTAGCACTGGGCTTTTAATGCCCAGGAGATGCTTATTAAAAGAAGCTACTAAAATAAACCTTTTTAAAGAAGACAAATTGGATGTGTGCAGTTAAGCTGGGGGATGCCGATTGGACAAGGCATGTGCTTAATTCTAAAAAGTGTGCTCCTCTTGCACATTTTGTGAATGAAATTAGAATGCTTTTGCTAATATTTTGCCAAGACTTCTTTTTCCTTTCATTTGAAAAGGACATTATTCCAAGAGGAGGCGTAAGGTAAGCCACATAAAGTGATTCAATGGAGTCAGAAAAAGAAATAAAAAAACTTTAAAATGTGTTTATGTATTTATTACGAATGGAAGCATATTTGCAAAAATGGGCATTAGCGGCGTTTATATGCTAAATGCAGTTTTAGTGTTCTGAGTGATGCACACAAAAGCCTCAAACATGTCAGTAAGATCAAACATATTTGAAAAGTGGGGTAAAGTTTCAAATTGGTAGGTTTGTAAATCAGGACCAGATAGAAGAATATAATCCCCAGAAGGTTCTGATTTGTTGATTTCCCTTTTCTCCTTTCTACCTAGTAGTTCACACAAGCCTTTGATTTTTTCATAGATGCAGCTATTGTCTGTGAATAAATTCATGTAGATAAACGGTTCTGAGTATCAACAAAAATACTGAGCTATACTAGCTCATGATGAATTCACAGAGATCACATCTTTGGTGTATTCATAGAGCACCAAAGCCTCTCAGGAATCTGGGTTCACAGCTGTTGAAAGACAGAGCCAGAGCTCTGGCTGTGTGCAACCAGCCCATCTATGTGGATTATATGATGCTACTGCCCATGACAACAGGGAAAGGGACTCAATGACAGAGGATATCCTGTATTTTTAACCACATTCTTATATTATTTTGGTTTTGTAGCATCACAGTCTCTCTTAGACACAAAACTTGAGCACAGAACCCCAGTGTTGGACTTCAACTAGTCTTAGTGTTGAATACATGGTTCTAGTTTCATGCAATTACTTACTTTCCATTGCTTGATAGTTAAATACATTTGCTTAGAAGCTAGTAATGAAAATGTGGTTTATGCAACAAAATTTTATGAAAACAATTCATTTGCTTTGGTCTAGTTATTTGTTCCTCTGTATTACCATGAGGACAGAAAATTGACCCAACTGCTTTATTTACAGAGTTGCTAAATGACACAGGTCCTACGTCATTCATTGGCTTTATAAGAAGTAGTAAGGTCACAGGAAAAGCTGGAGCAGCCTGAGCTTGTTTTCCTTTAAGGCTGACTACGTTAACACACTTAGTGAAGGAAGGGACAGTAATGATCCAGTCAGTACTTATCAGGACAAAATTAGTAACGATATACAATCCCAGTGGTTTAAAAGTAAGGAGCTCCGATTCTAACAAAAGTCCTAGTAATGCCCTGGTTTAAAGTCCGAGTGAAATCTGTGTATGTAACCCTCCAAAACAGCTTAGTATTAAAAAAAAATAAAAAATCCAAAAACCTGAATCAGTACCAACTTTTACAGTTCAATGTTCGTATAGTAACATGTTTAGATAGTCAAACCCTCTATACAGTTTTGAAGGACTGATCATGAGGAAATCTGTTGAGAAAGGTCAAAAAACCCAGTAAATTGAAAACTGTAGGGTTTGTTTGGTTTTGGTTGTTTGTTTTTTTTTCAAAGTTCTAATGATGCAGAAGCTGCATAATAATCTCCCTGTGAACCATAAACATAATAAAAGCTGAGGCCATTTCTAACATAATCTCTATCAGCAAGATGCCAGCGCTTTTCCAGATTTCCTAACGGGTCCCTGCTAATTCCATGCCAAAACTAGCAGTGGATTTCTTCCTTTTAATCTCCCCTAATGCCTTATTCGATTATTGTCACTGCTCTCCGACCGCGCACCGTCCCTTCAAACCCTAATTCCTCCCCTGGAACAGTCGGATGAGGCTGAACGGCGGTGGCGAATCCAAAGGACACACAGGGCCACAGACAGCCCCCGCCTCCCCACCGCGGGCAGAGGGCTGCCGAGGACCACGGGGAAGGGGGTGAGCCGGCCGGACTCTCCGATCTCCTCGCCAAGAGGGGAAGGAAGGATGAGCACCGACGCTTGCTCCAGTTGACGGGTCTGAGGGCACCTGCGCGTCCTCGCACGTACCTGAGGCATGGCTCTGCTCATCGCCTGGGCGTGCATCGCTGTCAGGTGAGCTCCCCCCCTCGCCGGCCCCTAGCCCCACCGGCCCCCAAAGG